GATTTATTGATGACTTGGTAGGGGAGAGTTCCCTTGAACTGGACATTTTTATTGGAATGGCTCTAGCGGCTAAACGATTCATCATTTAGGAATTGAAATATTTATATCAACACGTCAGAAAATCAGGCTTTGTATTTCTACACTTAAAAGTTATAAAAAGAAAAGTCAAGATGTTTAAAATTTTATTTTTCTCATTGTTTACCAAGTGTCCGATTCATGAACAGGTTTCTATGAAGCGGATGGTTATTTCCATGAAATGGACACTAGACGATTTTTATACGGTTTTCATAATCAACCGATTACAATACAGTACAAAAATTTAAAAACATTTGTAACAGAAAAAAATTAACTTTCCCAGAACTCCACAAGAATTGTGAGTCCATTTCGTGCAAAGTTTGCACTGGAGCCATTCTTCTTTGCTGTTTTGATATTCACCTTGACAGATTGGACAAACCGAATTTTCCTTTTCACCTTCTCGATCACATGAATCATCTTTATTCTTTTCCACCATTTCTTCACAAAATTCTTCTAGGTTAGCAGGTGTCGGAGACTCATCGTGTAGTGATATTTCCGAGGATATATCAGTATCAGAATCGTAATCATTTTTAGCAACTTTTGGTAACTTTATATTCATTTTAGTTTTCTTTGATGATACTTTTGCTTTTGAGAGCCTCTATTTGTTTTTCGTTTCTTCGCCTTTTCCTCAAATGCTCTCATAAGTTCATCTTTTTCGGGAGTGTCAGTTATAACAGCACTTTTTTCTTTTTTTCTTTTACTTCGGACCGATTTCCGTGGCATTACTTTTGGATAGGGTCTAAGAACTTCAGGTGAAATTAGATTTAGTTCAGCTCGACCTTGTAATGTAATTGATCGATTTAAGTTCTCCACACTTCTAGAACAGCAAGGTCTTGAATGGTCAGAGCTAGTTGAGGGGATAAATTCCAAACAGGTGCTGTTAAACTTGGCGGTCTGCTCACGGGAATTTGTAGTGTTCAAGTTGGAAGTTGACTGAGAAACTACTGTTTGGAACCTTTGGTGTAGTAATGAATATTACTGGAGTTTTTTCCCAACACCAAATCGTTATTTTTACACCTCGACACGTGTCGAGGTGTGAATCAGGTAGGTAATCAGTAATACCACCCATACAAGTGTACCACCCTGAATCAATTTTACAATTGATCTTTCTATTATTTTACAATATGTCCTTATGTATGTTTAAATGTTACAGCTATATATAGAACAATTTTCAGCTATATAAAATTAGTTTCACAATATTGCCAATCCAAATATATTTACAATGTGTCTTTTTGTAGTAATCAGTAAACCCAACAATATTATTTCAACAAGCTATATAGTATGCTATTTGGTATTGGTCCGTTATCGTTATTCATAATATTATTATGTTTACTTATTTCTACACTCTTATAGGCATCTAATTGCCTGTTGTTAACTTGTCTAACTAATCTTAAAGGACTGAAGTCTATGGAATGGTTTTGTTGCAAAATATGATGGGCGACTACTGATTTTTCAGGTCTTCCATAATTTAAGTGTGCTATGTGCTATGTATTTTGCATCGCAGTCCTTACATTCAATTTCGTAAATTCCAGACTTTTCCGAATTCTCGACTTTGTCTTTTGGACTTCCCAAAAGGCTCTGCAGTGTATGATTTGTTTTAAAAACCACCTTCATACCTAGTTCCTTGAAAATCTTTCCAAAGTTCTTCGTATATTGGTGGTATGCAATTGAGATGTATTTATCTTGGTGTTTGTCCTTTCTGAAAGTCGAGATTTCGTTCGTTCTTAACCTAAACTTCTTTTTCCTAATTATGTCATCTACAATACCCCTCGGGAAACCGTTAGTGGCTGCTATTTCCTGTATTGTACGTTTTTCTTTTGTGAACCTATCATGTGTTAGAGGGAAAGTCAAAAGACGATGCATCTAAAATTAATTTAGGGTGGTATTACTGATTACCTACTTGTATGATGTACCTGAATAGCATAAATAGCTTTAGTTTTGAGTAGTTTCTAGTTTTATCTTCCTCTTGAAGGTGATCACTTGGTGATCGACACGTGTCGAGGTGTAAAAATAACGATTTGGTGTTCGGAAAAAACTCCAGTAATATATGGCAACAAGTAGTAAAGACGTGCGATGGAATCGTTCCGAATAAATCCTGTAAAAAATATGAAAGTGTTGCCCTGAGAAGTGTTTGAACAAACCTGCTACCAATAAAATATCGGCCGATTTTATACTGGCCGTCCAAAATCGGTGTGTGTGCAACTAGCGTTACAAAACTACTCCTATGTTGTAAATAGAAAGACCAATTCCACATTTGCAAACCATCTTTTAGCAGAATGACATGAGTTCAATCATGAGTACGAGGTGTTACATTTAGAAGAGAAGAGTGTGAAACTTAATCTTCTAGAATGTTTAGAAATCAATAGATTCAGGAATTCGGGTAATTTACTGAATGATCAATTAGAACTCAATAACTCTCCGTTACTGAATATATTTTTTCAAATGTGAAAATGGAACATAAGTGCAGGTAATTTAATTCGTTAGAAACTCAGGTAAAATATCAGCTACTTAAAATTCAGGTACTTCGTTTACAGGTACTTTGATTTCAGGTACTCCATAAACTATATATATATTTAGTATTGAATGTGTAGAATTAGTTGAAAGACACGCCAGATGAAGCCATTGTATGGCGAAACACGTGTTGCGTTTTTGTAAAACAATCCACTGAAAATCACACAATAAAGTCTTTTTAGAATACGTTAGTTATGGATTTTCATCAAGTATCGGCCGATTCCATCATATAAATACATTATTATTCTCGAATTGGATAGCAATAGATTTATTGCAAAAACATATACAATTACTGAGTGAAATGAATTCGTTGAAAAACGAACTCGCGTTTGAAAGAAACTCCATAACCCCCATCAACAAAAAGTTATAGTGTGGAAAAAACAGTCCTTAATATGCATGAGCCTGCTGCCTGAAAAGTATTGGAATAATCGAAAAACTCGAAAAGTAAAAACAGGATTCCCAAAATAATAAGAAAGGTGATGCAGCATCAGGAATGATACAGAAATAAAGCAAAGTGAAATTGAATGAAATCATAAATATCAATAGTTATATACAAACATATATTCCTAGTCTTCAGGAAGGCATAGGCAGCAATAATAATAATAATAAGCAATAATAATGCTGTATGTAACAGTGGAAAATAACTGGAAGCTGGTCAAAAAAACAATAAGTGAAAGATAATCTGAGGTGTGAAAACAATACAGAAAATGTTTCCATGGAAGGAATCCTAAAATTTGTTACTTCATATGTGAGTAGGGTACCAACAGATACAAATGAGGAATCATTGAGGAGTAGACTGAATAATAATTTTTCTGAAGTATTATTTATCGTTTAAATTTGAAAAATTCGAAAACAATTTTATAAAGGCCATGAACCCTAAAATATGTCCACTTGGTCCATGTATAAATGGTTTTTTTAGAAAAAAGTTACAAAAAGTTAGAAGAATTGTGATATTGAATCTTCCGAATGCTTTTACTAAATCAAAGTAAACTGGATGAAATTTACTCAGATAATGCCAGATTTAATGTAAGTGTGATATGTTTAACGGAAACCTTTCCACTTTTCCACAAAACAACTTTTGCAGAAGAGAAAAGAAAGGTGAAGGAGTGTTAACTGGATATTTGAGTAGATATTGTTCGGAACAAGAATTCGAAATCTGTGGTATCACACGTGAATCAGAAGTGGGCCCAACAACCATTTTGTGTTGCTACAGGTCAAAATATAATATGTTAATTTGTAACGATTTCAATATTCTTTGTTATGATAATTTTGATGATGATTTTAAAAATCTGTGTAATGTCTTCAGATATTATAACATGAGACATATAGTGAGTTGACTAACTAGAGAAACACACAGTATAGCTTCAGCCATTGACGAAATATTTTCAAATTTCACTGACAAGTGACACAGTAGTAGTGACTGACACAAGAGCTTTTTCGTGGCTACTGGGATAGCGAAACATGTCGTGATATATTATTTGAAAATAAAGTTTGTGAAGATCAAATCATAAGGTGTAGTTTATGAAATTACTATGAATCTTCAAGTAACGGCCGAATCAATCAGAAAATTGAAAACTTTTTATAAATTTTCAAAACTTTGCGAGATCGTCAGCTTCCACGATAACCGAAAAAACCCCTACTGAACTATTATTTACTAATCGGCTTACGAAAATTCTTGGATAGAACATTTCTATCAGCTAATTCTGATATGAAACACCTTCGGCGTTATGAAAATCAAAGTAACTGAATTAATTAAATAGGATATCTTTCCATTATTACCATTCCATTACATTTCCATTATTAGGTTGAGAAACTATACTTTGAAAGTAAACAGAACTAAGAATTTATTTTCATTGTGAAGAAATAATTTCCTTTAGTAATTATGAGAGGTTTCATGGTGCTATTTTTACTGCCATTTTGATTTTTTCAATGGGAGCGGAATTCAAATCTGCAACCTGTTGAGAGTTATTGTAAAATTAATAAGAACTATACTTATCTACTGTCAAACCATAGTCATTGATAGTGCATCGATAAAAAATATATGTTCGACGATCTTTGCAGCTGAAGTTTTTGAAAACAACTTATAAGGGATGTTAAAAATGAAGTTTTTTTACAAATTCAGATGTTACTGGAAAACGATTCACTCTTTTGAGAGTTAAATTCAATCAGCTTTCATCAATCATCCAGATAACTCACAGATGATTATTTCATGACTCGAGGAGAATTGTTTTCGAATAATTAGTAGCAAATAGCAAATCTTCCAAATTTTCCTGTATAAATATTTCTTCAAAAGAGCTCCATTGCTACAAACTATCTCAAGGAGTCTCTAATATTTTAATTGACCATTTTACTCATTTTGAACTTATTTTGAACAAAATTTCGAAATTAGTATATTTTTCATACACTTGACTCACCATTTTATCAGGACTGATAAAATAAACACCATAACTGTCACTAACTACTAATTGTATAACTAAAACACAATGAACATAGTATTTCCACATTTTGTATCACCCCAAGCACTACCAAGAAGCTTCTGAATGTACAATCAACGATGAACTGAACGTGATAGTACAATTATGTCGTAGTTATGAATCTCAAATAGGAACCTATTAGTATTCAGGAATATTACTCAAAGAAATTACTCATGAACGAATGAGAAACTAGTGGATAACATTGATAGTTCAAAGAAAGAAGTAAAGAAATTTTCTGTTAATATTTTTTTTGTGGTCTAACTGAAGGACGTGGATGTGAAGAACTCCTAAAGTGAATTTTTTAACATCGTATTGATGGTTACACGCAAACTGTGGAAAAAAATGATATTTGGGACACCTGCGGTGTAAAACCTTCGCATCCACGATTTTAAATTCATACAGAGTTGCTGAAAAAATATAGACCGTTACTTTTTGAAACATTTGTGGAACAACTACGACTTCTAGAATTTGAAAAGAGATGTAACAGTTTAACAGACTTCCATTCTGGAAAGTCATTCGATTTTTCATTTACAAAAATATGGGCTGCTTTTTGGTAATCTAATTTCATATTTTCAAGGATGAAAGTGGTGGAAAGATCAGAGATCAGTCAAATTCAACCCGACGTTTCGGTTTATTATTGAACTATAATCATGGGTGATCATAATCATTCAGTTCATATATATAAAAAATTTACAATAAATGGAAGTTACTTTAGTTCGTTTTGGCTATTGTCAGAAAATAAATGTACATTGGATAATTTTTCCCTTTTTTCTTGAAGCAATTGTCTTGCTGGCTATAAATTTAGTATTTGGTTGATTATTAGAATATATCCGATTTTTTTTTATAAACGGGCCCAGCTATTATCAAAGGGTAGATATCTCTAAATTGAAAATCATTCATGAGAAATGCTTCATAGAAAATTCGTTTCTTGAAGCAATTGTCTTGCTGGCTATACATTAAGAATTTGTTTGATTATCAGAACATCTCCGATTTCTTTATAAACGGACCCAGTTGTTATCAATGGGTAGATATCCTAAATTGAAAATCATTCAAAAGAAATTCTCACAGTAAAGTGTTTTTTAAAAATGTTATTTCACATAAGGATACTTTTCTCAAATTGAATACTTTGACATTATAGATATTGATACAATTTCCGTTTTGAGTATTTGATATAGATAAACTTTGTCTTTCACACTATGTATTTTGGACGAATCGTTTAAAAGTCATCACGATAATATCAACTTGACGCAACGCAGTAAGCCATTACGCGTCGCGTCTACTGTAAGATGACGGGAGACTATGCGCGGGGGTAGATGGGCCTTCTAAACAATGAAGTGCCATCGCCAAGAACGCGATCCAAACACGGGCAGACACATGAGGGCAGTCGTCATTGACGGTTGTGTTAGTTTTGCGATTTTTTTTATTGGTAACATAATTCGCTTTTCGAATTTATTCACTACTTAGTACAGTTGGCATACTTTTTTAGAAACTGTATTTTTAAAGTGAAAATATAAATTACTAGCTGTTGCACACCCTGATATTAACGTACACCTGAAGCTACTGAACCTTGAAATATACAGGTAGCTTCTTTGTATAGCGTTAATAAGCATCAAGAAAGGAAATCAATAATTTCCACCTCCCAAGGGGGTGGGGAAGAGCGGTTCAAATATTGTATTTAATTTCGTCAGTTTTGAAGTAGGGAACCTGAAGTTTTGGGCTGATAGAAAAATATTGTAGCTATTTGTTCACAATTGTCTGTCAAGAAACTCAATGTGACAAACCGGTTTTCATGCATCATTTACTGGCATGTCGATGCAATGGGGAACCATTTTACCTTTTATATAGATATGTGCGATATAAACTTATGTTTTGATCTCAACGATCAACTCCGCCCATACTTTATTATACATTTTGACGACATGAGGTTGATAAATTTCTTCTCTTACTCACTTTTTCCTCACTTACTTACTTCTTTACTTACATACTTTTCTCACTTACCTTTTTTTCTTTTTGGGAGTATCGTCAAACGATATATAACGGGTTTACTCCAACTTCATCAGAAGTGAATGTAACCAATATTATTATCGTTCCATTTAACGAATATTATGTTTTAATCATTGATTTCATTGTAGTCATATGTTCCACGTGAAGTTTTCTTTAGTACTTTTGAGTTACGTCAAACACTGCCTACCATGTAGCTTCTTCTGAGTAGGATGTTTTATTAAAGCAATAAATGTGAATGAATTGTCAAAATATAGATTCCAAATCTTTCCATTTTGACTGAATAGTATCAGCATATTCAAGTACCACCGAGGTTCCAACACCCTACTCGATATCTATTCTGCTCAAACCAATTTATCCATCCCTGACGAGTGGTTTCGACCCATAACTTGAAATTATATCGAATGGAGTTGGTTCCGATCCATAACTTGAAACCATATCAAATGGACTTTCCATGGATATATTGTTCACAGCCATGTCATCAATGTTATGGTCTACTCAGAAACATCTTCTTCAAATATATGGAAATAGGTATGACTTTGGCAAACTTGTATGATTGTTCCAAAGTATTATTATTTTTTAAATGAATATTTGAGGTACTATGTCGAAATTTGTTCCTAGATATTGTTTGGGAAACTAGAGCACTATTAGTATCTTGTGGTCGTTTCCCAAACAGTCTCCTTCTGGGAAGTTGAACGTAGCCACTCAAGAGGACTCCAATGAAAATTTTCACTTCACGAATTCCTACCCGCATAAATCTGTTTTCTGAGATGCATAACGATTTGCTTCATCGGTGATGTTTCCAAAAACTATTTAATCAGAGAAAAGTGAAAACAATTGTGAACGAATAGCATTCACACTTTGGGGCTCTTCTAAAATATCATTATGGCTATGAATAACTTCTTTTACATATTGATGAACTCTTTTCATCTTCTCCTATCCTTTGATGTTCGTTTTTCCCGATTGGGGTATATATTTTTCAGATTTTCTTTCGTTTCCGACAATGATATTTCATCATCTGAATTTCGGTAATAATCATAGTGATGTGTAGATGACACCTGACTTTCACTTTGCATTTGTAAAGCAGGCAAATTATTTATGTTGAAGTTGTCGTCCTCTCCAGAATCTTTATCGGTGATATCACCACAAGCATTACTGGGTGGAAACAGGGTTATGTATCAGCTTGTAAATCTTCTTTCATTGCCAAATCTTCATGCAGAGAAAATTTCATAGAAAAAGTTAACGGAAGCAAACGTATACTAATGAAAGGATAACAATATTGGATGTTTTCATTTCAAGTACAGACAAGAATTGACAAGTTTCAGGTGTACTACATGTAGAACATAGGGCACATCTGAATTAAAATTGGAAAAGTAAGAAAATGAATCGAATAATGATCATTGTATAAAACTAGTTGATAAATCAATTATTTCAATTTGTGACAGGAGGATTTTGAAATTTATTGTTGTCATCAAGGTGGAGCAAGTAAGTATAGATTGTTTTGAGACCTTCTATGCCATAATACATCCAAGGAACTAGACTGACTCGACTCCGCCCTTCGCCAAAACAACTATCCCAAATCACAAATCCAAAGATGGACTATCAAAAAGCTTTTCTTTCTTTTATTCATGGAGTTACCGACAAAGTGAGCCAAACAGTATTCACAGAGAATAATTAAATCTCCACTTTTCTACGAACACCTGAAATCACAATACCCAATGAAGCACAGAGCATATACGAAATACTATGTTCCACCTGCTCCAGAACTTACATCGGCCAGACCAACAGAAAAGTCGCCAATAGAGCCTATGAATATGATCTTGGTGTCCGGAAATCAGATCCAGCCTCTTCAAACATCGACCATTGTCGCCGAAAAAACTTTCCAGGCCCGGATAAACCGCGAAGACATTGAATTTGATGAATGTCTCAACATATGAGATGATTCACATACAGGGTGTTTCAAATTCGATCCTCACCATGGGAATCTCGGAAACTATGAGAGATACGAAGATGGTTGAATTCGGGCAAAGTTGCGCAGTTACCTGACTGACAATATACCGTTGAGAAAGTTCTGAAAGTCCGAGTATATCTGGAGATATCCGAAAAAAAAAAACAGAAATTTCAGAAAATGGTTTTTATTTTTTCTGGCTTCATTTTTGGAAGAAGATTCGAAAATAAATTGCACACTGCCATTTTTTTTCTATACATAATTGGGTTTTCAGATTTGCCATACGACGTTTCGTCTTACGGCCATCATCAACTTTATTTTTTCTTATGGGTTCTACATTGGATTCTTTCTGTTTTGAATAGAACCAGATTTAACCTTTTCAATGGTGTATAATAAGTTATCATACTTTTTCGAAAAATTGGAGCTATTGAAAAAAATTGATTCTTATCATAATAGTCTTCGACTTTGATGTTTATAAATTTGACTTTCAATTTGTAACACTCAATGACATTTTGTTATTATACAAGTCATTAAATTTTTGGCGAAAAATGGCTTTCACGAATGAAGACAAAAGACATATGATACAAATTTATCACAAATATGATAGAAACAGTGTTAGGACATCAAAAATGCATTTAAACTTGTATCCTGAAAGACGACAACCACGTCAAACTATGTTGAAGTTATTGGAACAAAAGCTCAACGAGTTTGGTTCGTTTGAAAAGCCAATGAAAAAATATGTAGACAGAATCAACAATCGAAATTTGATAAATGATGTGTGTATGAGGTAAATTAGGCATTGTGTTCCCTTCAATGAAAATAGAATTTTGAACAAATAACAATAATCAACTAAAATTTAAAGACAAAAGTAAATCACAGCAAATGCTCAACCCTGCCCTTCTTCGAATTTTATTCACTGCACGAATGATTTCCCTCCTCCTCAATCTTCCGAACTCTGAAGCAATGATTTGTTGAAGGTCCTCAAAATTTTGATATTTCCTCTGACCATAAACTCTATTTTTCAGTGAACCTCATAAGCATGTATCCATAACACTTAAGTCTGGAGACCTTGTTCACCTCACCGGCACATTATTCCCTATCCATTCATCACCAAACTT